TGCCTGGCAAGTGCAAGGTCATGAGTTCGGTTCCCGGTACCGGAGAAAAACCAAAAAAAAAAAAAAAAAAAAAAAAAAAAAAAAAAAAAAAAGAAAGAAATTCCAAATGTAGTTGTTTTTGCTGTGGAAAAGGCAAGTTTCTGAAAGGGAATATAATGCATTCTAATTGTTTACTTATAGTTGCTTCCTGTAACACATTATTTAAGTAGATGGATTGTTATAGAAAAAAATATACCTCCAACCTGATAGATAATCAGATGTGGTGAATTAGTGTCCTCCCTACATGGGAGAATGAATTCCAAGGAACAATGAAGGTTAAGAGTTGGAAAGGTTTAAGAGAAAACACCTCAGAGACAGACAGGTGGGGTCCTAAAAGTAGTGGCCAAAGAGTCCCTTTGTCAGTGTTAATTTATACAGCAAAGTCAGAACATGAGTAAGATCTGGGCCAAACTACCAATAACCTATAGAATTGCAAGTATAGTCACTTGGCTAATCTTGCTTCAGCAGATTAATAACAAGGGTGTATGGAAAGAATAAAGGCATTTTGGAGGGGGCAAAGAGAAGAATTCATGTCCCGATGTCTTGGTCATCCACCTACATGCCTGATGCCCTTCTGGACCCACTGTTCCAGGTGGCACGGATCACAATATAATCTCAAGTTGCTGTTTATCTTGCAATCTCGGCTATTGCATCTTCAGTCTGAGGCCTGGTTCTCTCGATTTGCCTCTGGCCACAGCTCTGATGTCTTTTTTGCACTGACTTCCTTGATGGCCCAGTCTCTCTCTGACAGTATATTAATTGATATCTAATTTAGATGTCTATAATAGGATCTTAAAAGATTTGTTGAGTTACATTTACCTGACAAAATACTGTATATCCAACTTCTCTCTGAAGAATTTTCATTTAGAGGTGTAACCAGCTGAGGTTTATTTTTTAAAAGCCAAATGAAAAATGTTCAGATCTCCTAAATATACCAAATTCCACCACACCAGAATAATTGATATTTAATATTGTCCACTTGGAATAAAATAGTTTTAAAATGGAATTTATAATTTAAATTTTAGGATGAGATATTTACTTCTCATTGTTGTCTGCAGAAATCCTTGCTGATGGAAGTATAAATGAGCTAGTACTGCCACCAAGTGTTAGAATTATTTCTTTTCATTTGACACACATGCACAAAACTTCAGACTAATATTGTAATGTGTTTGCAAATTAAGGCAATAATGAGAAAGCATGTCATAAACCACACAATCCCTTTTATCACAAATGCCATGGATTGGAATTTTACAATACCAACAATGCCATTAAGGTTTCCCAGATAAAGTTGTTACTAGTGAATGCAAAGGGCATAATTTAGACATGTTTTACCAGATTTGCTTTCTATACATGGCAGATAGACTGTAAGGTGACTGATCTCCAATGATATTCTGCTTTCTGGTACAATAGCTTTGTGTTTTCCACTCCTATACACTCCTTACCTTGTACACAGGTGGGATCTGGGCCCTGCTTCTAACTAATTGAACACAGCAAGGATGTTGGCTAGTACAAATGTCATACTGATACAGGGGAAGGAACCTCCCAACCTGAACAATACTGGGATGAGTTCGTGTTCTCTAAAATCAAAGAGTGAATTTTAGGAACAATGGAGGTTAGAGCAGAACATGTTTATTGTGGGAAGGAATACTTCTGTCCAAGAGGGACAGAGAGGGGCCTGAGTGGGTTGCCAAGGACCTTTCTTTTCCCAGGGATTTTATAGAGCAAAACCACGAAGTGAGACAGGTCCAAAATAGGGGAAAATGGGAAATTGCAAGATGGGTACGAGGTGGGACAAAACTGTGGTCAGCCAATAAGATTACAAGTATAATTGTTCAGGTAAAGTTGATTAAATTGGAATCAAATGGGGGAAGCAAGTCACGTAGCAAACTAGCATAAATACAGGATAGAGATATTTCTTGTATAAAGGTTGGGCTAGTGACTCTTCCTGGCTTTTTCAAGGTGATTGCTACCTATTTAGAATATGGGTCCCTGAGATCCATCCCTAGGGAACTAAAGGAGTGCATCTGTTTAATCTTTGGTCCACAGCTGGAGGTGTCTGTCTCCCCCATAGTTGCAAGTTATTTTATCTTCCACACTGCCTCCTTCCAGGACCTGGCTGTGTCTAACTGCCTATAATATTTCTATCTACTTCAACAGTCCATAACAATACCCTTGATTATCATACAAGTTCACACACATACAGAGTATATATTTATATCTATACACATCCATCTTGCTAGGAAGAACTATGGAGATTCTCTGTTGGCTTGATGAAATCAGTAGCCATGTTGAGGAAGCTCAAGGCAAGGAATTATGGGTAGTCTCTAGGAACTATCTCTGGCCCCTGGTACACATCTTAAGACATGAAGTTGGCCTCTAGCCAAAAGACAGAACCCTCAGTCATAATGCCACAGGGAAATGAATTCTGTCAGAAATATGCAGGCAGGATCTTGGGTGTGGATTTTCCCAGACATAACTCTGTGATGAGAACTCAGACCCAGTCAACACCTTCCTCACAGCCTGGCAAGATCCTGAGCAGATGGCTTCAATAAGCTGTTCCTGGACTCCTGCCATTGGGAACCTTTGAGCTAATAAACATATGTTGTTTCAATTACCTAAGTTTGTGATTTATTATGCAGGAACAGAAAACTAACACAATATATAACAACATGATGCATGTGTTTTAATATTGAAACATGATGTTTCATTTTCAGTATTTAAAGAGGGTAGGTCAATTAGAAATGGGTTTTTAAACTTTCTCAATTGGTTCTCTGACTGTTATATTTAACATGCTCTGATACTAACTTGTCTTTGGTGGTTTAAGTGTAGTTAAAAATTGTATTACACTTCTAATTTAAAAAAAAACTTAAAAATTATAAACAACCATTTGCTGCTTCTCTTGCACAGCCTGGGGCAAAACAATACTGAGTCAAATGATTTTAATAAGGAGAAAGATTAGGAAAAGTAAACCAAAATTATTTCTGTAAAAGTCATATCAACTGATCAAAAATCATGTCCTTAGTTACTTCCAGAATGAATCAATGATCTTTATTAAAGAACAAGGTAATAATGGGAATTCCACTGTAATGCAGCAGATAACTTCTAAAGCTCTTGAAGAAAAGTCCACATTGTGTGAGACACGTCTTTTGTAAAGATTTTACATTTTTGTAAAGTGTGGACTGTGACCATCCCATTTTGAGTTAAATAGAACAGGATTAAAATAACTACCAAAGGTGTGAGTCTGTATCCATAAGGGCACAGGTTAACGCATCAGTATTCTGTCATGTGAGTCAAGTAGACTTCTACAAACCACAGAGCAAGAGAAATTGAATGAAACCTGTGGCAAGCCCCAAGGCAAACCTTGGTGTCTTCATCAGCAGCTCCCAATTCTGCTGTCAATGTTCAGCTAGAGATACATAAATGATTTTGTGGACTTGAGGGTTGTCACACATTTTGCTTCTGCAGTATTTAATGGACTAAGCTTCCTAGCAGGCAGTGTTCTGTCCTGTATAACCATTTCCTAGAGGAAGGTAATGAAGTGGAACATACTCTGAGATGGTTATCCCTAGGACCAAGCCTTGTCCTACCTCCTGAAGTTTGTACAAAGTGAAACAACAAAAGCACACAGGGTGATGGGATGCCCATTGTTGCATCAGGGCCAGGGTTTCAGGTCTTTACATTTATTGTATGGACTCCTCCAAAAGGCCTAATGTACTTAACTACGATAATAATGACAGTTACTGAGTATCTATGAGGACCTGCGATTCCTGCTTTAATGAAATACCTTATGGCATTGCTCACACAACCCTGCGGAATAGGTGCTGCACGGAAACCACGGTAACCGTTTGACTAAGGACCTTGAGGCTTCCAGAGGTTACTAAATTGAGCTGAAGGGGAATGATACCTAAATAAAAACCCATATGCTTAACAGTGATTCCTTACCTCTCCCCATGTATGTAATGAATAGTCAGTGAAGAAGCGAGAGACATAAACGAAATAGTCTCCTGAAAACTAAACCCTTAGTACTCTTCCTGCTAATAAAGTTTGTTTAATCAACTGACGTATGCGTGGTATGTTATAATAAGCAGAATTCTTTCTCATACATATCTGATTAATCACAAAAGTCCTATTTCAGGTGGGTTGCTAGTATAGCGAGGTGGCTAGGAGTTCGATGTTTAGACAGGTTTAGGCTTAAATACTAGCCCTGAGGTCCGTTGGCCACACTTCCTTGGACAACATGACCTCTCAGTCCCCTCAACTTCTAGGCATAACGACTGTAAGGGTAGACGTAAGGATTCTGTGGACGAGGGTACCTATATAGGCTTTGTGGTAACGTTTCACGTATGATGAATCCAGATTCCTGGAGAAGCGAGTAAACTGGCCCAAAGTATAAAGTGGGGCCCAGATTTCCAACTGTAAGATTTTTTTTGCCCTTGCTGACAAAGATGTAGCGTAGGAACCTTTAAATAAATTCTCCTACCCACAGTCTGGTTCAGTTCAAGACCCATATTACAAATTCCTCACGCCCCACCTGAAGATGATACAAAGAGTTTTTATAAACTGCCTCCAGCATTGCCTGGGTTGGCCAGTACCCACCTAGTCTTGTCCCTTCCCCCAACCTCTCCAGTACTGCGTCACAAACGTTCACCAAGCTGTCTTAGCAGTGGCCAGACCCCACCTCCAGCGACAAGGCTAACCATCTGCACCCGGATTGGCTGTTGTCCTGGGCAACGGAGAACGCAGTGGATACGTCAGGCGCTCAGAGGGTATTTAAGAGCTGCCGCTGCCCCGGTCTCCTCAGTCCGGCCAGGACGGCCACCGTGAAGCACCTGGGTTGAGAGGGAGCAGCCACGTGAACGCGCACCGCCTGCCTCCCCAGTCCCCAGCCCGTGCCTCTGCAGAGGTGGGTGAACGTGGGACCCGGGAGCGGCTCTCACTGCGTGTCGCCCACCAACACCTTCCTCCCCCACCATCCATCCCAGCCCCAGTCCCATCCAGCCCACCTGGGCAAGACAACCCGGGTGCGAAGGACAAGCGATTACGACGGAAGAGCTAGAACGCGGAGAAGAGGAGAGAGGGTCCTCCTGGAGGAAGGCGCCAGCCCAGTGCCAGGCACGCGGCGCCGCGCAGTGACACAGGTTGAGGACGCTCTTCACGCCGTCCGATCTGGCCACCTTTCACGACAGCTTCTAAGACGCTCCCATTTAGCCCTCGGGGAGCTCCCGAAACCATGACCCAGACCCTCTTCCAGAAGGAAGACCCTCTCAATCTGGGCGGCGGCTGGTCATCCTCTGCCCCCTTAGGCACCTGGTCTTCCTGCCGTCGAAGGCGCAGAGGAGCCCCGATCTACAAACAACGCTACAGCCAAGGCCGCAAGTCCGGGTATGAGCCCCCGAGGAAAAAGCCCAAGCAGCAGCACGCCCCACGCCCTTGGTTCCAGCCCCCACGACGACCTTGCTGGTACCCTAACTGGGGGAGCTGCGCGGGGCCCTGGCACCCGCCTCCGGCGGGATTCCGCAAGCCCCCCTGCCCGGTGGAAATGATGCAGGTGTACGGTCTGCACCCGCTCTGCGCTTGCTGCTGTTCTTGCTGGTGCGCCCCCTGGAACCCGGGCTGGGTGAGGCGCCCCGGCAGGAAGAAGCGCTGGGGTCGCTGGGGTCGCTGGGGTCCCTGGGGTCCCTGGGGTCGCCGGGGCCGCCTGCGGCGCCCCCCGCGCAGCTCCTTCCGGCGGAGCCCTCCCGTCGACCTGAGCATGCTGCTGCGGCCGGTCAACCTGTACGGCTGGCGGGCGCCGGGTATGCGGGCGCCGCGCAACACCACGCAGTTCATCATGAACCAGATCTACCAGGACATGCGGCAGCAGGAGAAGGAGGAGCGCCGGCAGCGGGCGCAGAGGGCGCAGCAGGCCCGTGCCGGGTCCTCCGGCGACAACGCGCCCCCCAGCGACGGCGAAGAAAATGCAGAGCTGCCCGAAACCTTTTACAGCTACCTGCAGGATCCCTCCCTCGTGCTGAGTCCCCCACCCGTGCAGGTAAAAGAATCTCCTGCCCCGCAGCTGGTGGAAGAGGAGGAAGCGATGCAAGAGATAAAGGGGGAGGAGGAGGAGCAGCAGGAGGAATGCGAGGAGGAGCAGCAGAAGGAATGCTTGGAGGAGTGTGATGCAAAGGAGGCGGAGTACCAAGAGAAGGAATTTGATGGCGAGGAGGAGATGGAGGAGGAGGAGGGCGAGACAGAGGAAGAGGAGGTGGAGACCGAGGAAGAGGAAGAGGAGGAGGAGGCAGAGACCGAGGACGAAGATGTAGAGGAGGAGGAGGTAAAGGAGGCTGACCGAGAGGAAGAGGGGAAGGAGGAGGAAGAGAGGCGGATGCAAGAGCAAGGGCCCGAGGAAGGGCAGAGAGAGGAAGAAAACCACTTGCCTCTGGAGATGCCTTTATCCATCTTAGTGGGCGCTGAAGAGGAAGAAGAAAAGGACTTTATGAACTATACTTACTTAAGCCTAGATCAGCTGATTCCGGATGTGCCACAGGAAGCTCTATTCATGATCCCGGACATTGACCATTAGTTATCTCCAAGGGAACTGATCTGAAATTGAAATGGACTACAGGCTTATTAAACTCTAGTTTAAAAGTGAGTTCCACTAATAAACATATCTATGTAAACCCCTGCTTTGGCCATTATAAAAATATTTAAACATCGGTGTGTTGTGTATGAGTGTGGGTGGGGCAGAGGAACTCAAATATTATTTTACTGGAAAAGATTAAAGATCAAATATTTTATTACTACATCTTGTCTATGTTCTTTTGCTTTCTCCCTTTAGACAACTGGTCTACTCAGTGAGCATGGGGTTAGCACGTTTTGACTGTGGCAAAACTAAGAAGCACGTGTGATAGCTTGAAAGTCTAACTACACTCTGAAAACTGAAGCCATTTTAGAACTACTTTTCAACACTAGATTGCTTTGTGGATTTTCCCCCTTTCAGAACTCCTATATTTTGGTAACCACATTTGCAGTTTTGTGTGGCATCGCTCATGTATATTCCTTATTCCACAGAGCTTTGGATCTTCCTCAGAAGAACATGAAGTTGCTTCTGTGGAACTGATTCTCTGCCATGGCCTCAGCAATCCATATCCCATGCACGGGCAGGATTCCCCATGGTCACAAGTCAACTTGCACATCTAGTTAAAATCCAAGGTAACTGCAAATGGTGGACCATAGATTAGGTTTTGTAGCCTTGTTCCAGGACATATTCCTTGATTAGGTTCTGGGAATCACATGGATTTTATAGAATGGATTTAAAACAAAAATGACCTGTTGGGCAGTAGAATACCTTATTTTTTTTCCTGGAGTTGTAAAACAAATGTGTAAAGTGAAGCCTGTGAGAGCTAGTTTCAGAAGATATCTAAACAATTAGCTATGAAGAATAAATCACTCAAAACAGAACCTCTTGAAACATTTTTTAAAAACAAAAGCATTTCTTTCTTCCCGGGCATTTAATAAAAAATTCTGTCCATCGCATAATTCCAGAATATGTTCCTAGATGAAAAATTTGATCCTGCCTTTTCCAAGATTGCACTTTTTAAATAAACTGTGTTGCTTAGTACCCAATTAATGATTATTGAGTGAAGGAACTACATGGTGATATTTTACCAGGGTGTGGATTTTTATTCACATGTGCCTGTGTATGCAGCTTTCAAGGCGATAAATTTAAGATGTTAAATAATAATGTATCCTGTTTCTTATTTGTTATCTAAATATCAGATGACTGTGCAGCAGTACTTCTGTGTCCAACAGGATGAACACAGAAAAAGAAAACTACACTATAAGAATTTAAAAATTACACCTAGCATTCAAAATTATAGCAGTCAGTAACCAAATATTTAATTACATGCTAAAATCATGACTTTCTATAAGATATAATTTCTGAATGACCTATCAAAGTACTTTAAATATTATACCTAGCATTGCAAATTATAGCAGCCAGTAGTAAAAGATTTAATTATACTCTGAAACTATGACCTTCTGCAAGATGTAATTTCTGAATAACCTATCAAAGTACTTTGAACTGACCAAGTGCCTTTCTGTAACTGTTCTAGTGTACAAGCAAGCAGAAAATGAGAATCACAATCCTGCTACCAGTCAATAAATTCCTACAAATCATATCCTATAAATACTTAACTAAGATCCCCCCTTAAAAATCACTAAGTCAAAATAAGTTGTGGTCTTATTAAAGAAACCCTTTCAGTTGAGATTGACACAATCACATCTGGACAATTCTCAATGTTATATATATGAATTCACTAACTCACACCTAACACTATCCACTAATCACTACAAGGGTGCAAACATGAGCAGTGTTACAGGATTTTACATACTAGTCCATGAACTATTATTCCACATTACTAAATTATTAGGTCTGCAGCATTGTGAACAATGATAAAGTTCAAAAATGAATGAGCAACTACCTACTCCTGAGTTGCATAGATTTTTCAATAAAAAGACATTAAATGAAGTATTAGACAAATTGCTCCCTGTGGTTATTTTGAAGAAGGTGATCATTGTGAAATGATAAATCACAAAACAATCACAAAACAAAGAACCAAAGGGTGAGGCTGTGGGTGTGTACCGTGCGGGAAGAAGGAGTATTAAACCTGCAGGTCAACGGCTAGGAAAAGCCTGCTGACCTGGGGGACTGGGGACCGAGGACCAAAGCTGCTGGAAGGATCAGGCAGTGAGAAGAGAGATATGCAGAAGCCGTTCCTATGCTACCCATAATTTCTGTGCCTCCCATATTTTCTAAAATAGACACGAGGAAAAATTAAAGAAACAAAACCCTAATACATTATTGATGATTCTTTACCTGGGATCATTTTTTATTAGCCAGATATTATGACGATAACTTTACTGACCCTGTAGAGTAGTGTAAAGTAATTGGCATCCCAGGACTCCAGCTTTATGCTTCTCTGATGCCTCCCCTCTCACTGTCATGTGAATGAAGTGATCAGCTTGATTGGAGCACCCTATTCTCAGTTTCCACTGTAAACCTTTACACAGCTCGTTGGGTTCAGCTTGATCAATCACTAAGCTCTAAAGTCTTAATATGGCTCAGAATAGATGCACTCTTTAGTTTCAGATATAACAATGTACTTGAAGAAGAAGAAAATGCAAGTTTCCAGAGAAAGCTCATTATTATTAAATTCAAATGTTGACAGAGTGGACATGGTGATTAAAGAGGTGTCATGTAGATACTTATTTTAAGAACTGGATTATTGCCAGTTGTCAGAGAGGGAACACTTTTAGAAGTTCTAGGCTTATTAAGCACCTTTTTGCCTATTGTGAGGATTTCTTTAAGAGTAGAAATTCTGGTATTTTTCTCTCCTGACTGACAGCATTTTTTGATTTACCTTCATTACTCTGTCTCCACAGTAACCCATTTTTTTCTGTGAAAATATTAGCCCTCTGAGGATGGTAAATACATCTGACAGATCAATTTTGAGCTCTGAGGATGATATCATAAAGTTTTAGGGGCTGGGGATTTAGCTCAGCGGCAAAAGCGCCTGCCTGGCAAGCGCAAGGTCGTGAGTTCAGTTCCCGGTACCGGAGAAAAACCAAAAAAAATAAAAATAAAAATAAAAAAAAATAAAGTTTTATAGCATCTGTATATAAAGAAGACAGCATTTCAAAAGTATTTTTTTCTATTAAAATAAATGCAAAGGATGAAATAACTAGTCTATTGTAAATTACACCAACTGCATATATCTAGGAAATAAATAATACATCACCTCACAGGAACTCATGGAGCAAGGGAATAGATAAGACAAAATAGCTTCTTAAATGTGTTTTGGATTTTAGAGCATAAGAAAATAATACAGCATGAGAAAATAGTAATGTGGCTATGTTGTTGTATTGGCAGGTTCACATTAATGAAAGAAATTGAAACCGATCACTTTGGTCTGGATTTTCTGCATTTTTAAAATAAAATCAGTGTATGGCTGTGTCTTAGCTGTTTTAGTACTAGCATTTTTCTGCATGTAGTTTTAGATAATTAATGGAAGACATTTCAATATCAAGCCCAGCTGATGGAAGGGAAGAAAAGCATTTGGGGATAGATAGGACTTGATGTCCTGGTGCCCTGGTTATCTGTGACATTCAGGCAGTTACTGTCACCCTCTGCTCCCTTAAATTAATAATATTCCATTATCATTTAAACCTACTGTGGCTAAGTATCACCAAATATTCAATGTCTAGTTACTTCCTCATTGTTGAGCAGAATACCAAACACCAAAAGTTAAAGGAGAAAAGGTTTATTTTAGCTCATTTTGTAGAGCTTTCAGTCCCAGGTTGGCTTCTCCAAGACAGACAAGGATGGCAGAGGGGCAGGGCAGAGGAGAAACAGCTCATGCCATAATAGGAAGAAGAAACCCACAAGCCCACCCTTCCTCTTTCCCTTTATGTTCCACCCAGGCTACAGGCCCACTGATTAGTATCTTACCCAGGATGGGTAAGATACTTCTGTCCTCAGTAAAATGATTCAGTCGCACCCAGAGCAATGTCAATCCACTCAGTGACTAATTCTGTTATCACACGTCCATATTCCCGTATCACACACCCATCACCCAGCCACCTACCCAAAGCCCTACCTATCAGCACATTTGGGGGAACATCAAGATAAGAAGAATCACACTATGGACTGTGTTATGGTTTAGATCTGAAACGTTGCCCCAAAGTGTAATAGATTCAGAAGTGGAGCATTAGAAAGGTGATTGGATTAAAGGGGCAATATAATCGCTGGTGGCCTCATCCAGCAATGAGATCAGTAGCTGAGTATACTGTTAGAAGGTGACTTCAGTAGCTGCATATACAGTTAGGAGGTACAGCGGGTTGGAGATGGGTCACAGAAAGAGGAAAGGCAGACTTGAGGGTTTTTTCTGCCTGTTATGCCCTGAGCTATTTCTCCTTTGCCATGTAAAATTTCTCAAAATAATTGACAAAATGAGTTTTCTACTCTATTTTTTTCTGGAGGATAGCTATCAACAAACATTATTTGAGCTGCACATACAAAATTATGAAAATTGAATAAATTTCTAAAGGTGGACACATTTGTCAAATAATATTTTCTCTTTTATCCCACCCCTCAATCACCCTTTGCTTAGGTCCATGGGGTATCGTTTACTCCTATGGTTGACATTTAGTCTCCAATGGCTGGCATCTTAGAACACACGGTTGTGCAGGGAGGCTGTGGGCTGGAAGAGTTTATTCTTGTGCCCAGCTCCTCTCTGCTTCCTGCCGTGGGTTTAGCACTTTTTTCTCTACCATGGAGTTCCTGCCTAGGATACATCCAACCATGGACTGAAACCAGGAAGGAAAATAAACCTCTCCAAGTTGCAGGTGCTGGGCATTTATTTCCAGCAATAGGAAATGACTGATACAGATTGTCAAAAAATATTAATCATTACCTATTGAGTTTCAAATTATTAATCATTATACATTGTTTCAGTTTATAATCAAAGTTATCCCTTTTAAATTCTGAACTTTCCATCGTCAGTCTAAGTTCTTTAGCAGTGCCCAGGAAAATCTCACTGCAATCCTATTTCAGCAGTTATCCTACTTAGTCTTTGATATTTAGTTTTGACTTGTGGTCACAGTTGTCTAGTGTCATTCTAATCAGGGTGACAGGTCCCAAGAACAAGGTGCCCACGGATGAAAAGAAAAGTAAGAGAGACAAGAAAAACAAGAGAGGCAAAAGTCTGGAATCAGGGGGCTTAAAACCTCTTGGACTGCAGCCCCAATTACCAATCTCAGCCACCTTTTATTGAGCAAGAACTAAGGGCATAGCTAGTACAAATGGGTAGATAGCAAGCGTTTTAGTAATGAAAGCACTATCCTTCTCCAATTCTGCCTCTTATGCTGCTGGCAACAATCCCCAGGTGGGCCTCCCACATCCAGCACCACGCTGACTCAGTTCAGCTGGGGGTGATAAATTGACCATCAGTTACCAATCCACTACAATCGCAATCCTTACTTCCCATTAATTTTTACAATGCTTGGCAAGACTAAAAAATAGGGATCTCCTGCAATTCAAATACACTCTTATCTTCAGGTGAAAGATTTCAGTTCATTTTTGCAACAATAAACAAATCACAGTGTGTCCTCAGTGCTTTCTAATCAAAGAATGTCCTTCTCCACAGTCTAGTGCTTTGATGTTTAAAGTGTGGTCCATGAACCAGCAGAATTTGCAGCACCTCAGAGAGTGTTAGAACTGTGAAAGCTCTGACTCTAGATTTGCTCCATTAGAGTATGTTTTGTAGCTAGATCTCTGAACCACAAGCATGTACATTAAAGACAATATCTATGGTTTACAGATATTAGATCCATTGCAAAATCCTAATGGGAGTTTAATGACTACTACTGTAGCGTGTGCACTCAAAATTTTACCATTGCTACTTCTGTGACCTCAAGGATGTTACCAAAATTTTGACTTCTTATTTTCCTCAACTGTAGTAGCTACCTCATGAGATTAAATGAGATTATGCAAATTAAATGGACCAGTACTTACCAAAAACTGAGAACAGTGACATTTAATAGTTACTAGTTATAACAAGTATTCAGTAAATACACATATGAGACCTTTGATATGTGCTGTCTAGAGCTTATGTGTGAGTGACTGGACAAGTTATATTTGTAAAATCTCTCAAAATAAATAAGAAAATGATGTACCAACTGTTTTTCTTGAGGATAACTATCATCAAATGTTATCTAAGAGGCACCTATGAAATTAGGAAAACCAAATAAATTTATAAAGATGAACATATTATTCAAATATTTTCTTTTATTCCACCCCTTAATTGTGCTTTCCTTATGTCCATAAGGTAATATTAACTCCTATGGTTGACATTTAATGCCCTAATGGCTGGCATCTTAAAATACATTTTTTATATCAAAGTGTATACATCTGTAATACTTGAAGGAATCATTTCTGTTGGTAATTAATACTTTATGTAAATCATACAAAGATTAACAAGACATTTAATATTTCACATATATGTGTATCATTAAAGATGTTTGTTGGGAAAAAAATAATGAAGTAGGATTAACTGGTGGAATTGTTGACTTCCTTCTATCTTTAAAATGAAATTAAAGTTTTCAAAGTTTTCCATTTGAAAAATGTAAGAATTTACTGGTAAGTTTATAAGTTTATAATAAATCTGGATATCATTAACAGTGTTACTACTTCATTCTAAATTCTGTTTTATGCTACACATAAAGGTAAGCTCACTATAATAAAGACACAGATATATGAAAATGTCAAGCTGTATTAAATAAAAGCACATATCACATATGTAGAATAGTTAAAAATATTAGAGCATCGATGTGAGATTTCAAAACACATTTGAGGCTCTACAACATACTTAACAAACATCAGTTTTAACATGTAGTCACTCTGAGAACTGCTGGTTTAGATTTCTTTTGACAGATGAACAATATAAATTTTAAAGAAAGAAATAATTTCAAGACCACTTTCTCCATTTTTAGTTCAAAACCATCAAGGTAATGTGTTACTGGAACATATTTCCTTGTAGCTATACTTAAAATAACCTATCTAGAAAGAAACTTGTTACTTTGGGTTGAGTTCTAAGTCAGGGACAAAAAAGTATAGTCTTTCCAATGTGATATTGATAAGAGGAATCTAAAATAGAAATACTGAAATCTCTGATTTGATTACAATTATTAAGCTCACACATACAAATGTTGAGTGGTATCCAAGGCTCAGATGGGATCAGTCATCCTAGAATAGGTCAAGAGGAGTTAAAGATGATTTATTTGGAGAAATCAAGACAGGAAGACTTATAAATATATTTCCATATCTATACATGGCTATATAGTAATATTGTATAACTGTTCTATTCCTGGGGGCAGAATGGGGAGGCAGAGGGGAGAGTATTTGAGACAATTCTATTCCTGAAACAAACCACATTTAAATATTTCTCTGGCAATGCCTCAAGCACAGCATAATTTCACTCCAGAATATATTCATCGAAGATGCAAAATTCAACTTTTACATGTGAACCGTTTTAGAAAAATCACTTACGTATAAAACCTTAGAGAATTCCTCCAAAGGCAAATTTCTGTATTCAGAAAGGTACCCAAAAGGAGGGACTGAAAATTGCCCTCCCCAAGTAATGGACAACTATGAAATACTTTATAATGGAGTAAAACTGTTCTATGTAACTTTTCTATGGTTCTACGGACTCTATCTCCTACGGCCTTGTGATGTGTGGCCCTTAGTACATTTTACAAGTTGCTAGTGACATTTCTCCACTGCAGCTGGTATTGCACTCCGGTGAGTCTATCGTAGTGTGAGAAACTGAGACCAGCATGTAGATCATGCAGCATTTCTAGCTCTGCATTTCTAAACACTAATCTCTTATTGTAAAAAATTTAAATGTAAATAAGGTTAAATCAAAGACTTTATTCTTTTGTGTTGCAAGGTCATCCACTTGATTCTCTCCTGCCATTCATTTTATGCAAACAATATCTGAATATTCATTATGTGAGGATCACAGGCAGAACTATCTTTTTCATGCTAATATAGATGGTCTCATTTCTGAGAAAAAGAAGTTCTGATTTTAAACTCTCTAAAACAATGAAACTTTCACCACAAAGTCTTTTAGTTTTGCTGGATAGGAAAAAGAAACAAAAGAAGTGTATTTCAAGGACAATAAGGACTTGAAAGTACAAGTTTTTGAGCTACCATTTGGTGAAGACTCCTTAATTATTTATACCACTACTGGTACATACCATGCCTGTTTCTCTATATCATTCTATGAGGCTATTTCATTTAAAATCATTTTTCCTTTTCTTTTGACAGTACTTTCTAATATAAACTCACTCAAATTCCAAGCCACAAGCTCATAGTTCTCATAATCTAGATGACGTCATACTGTGAAGCTTG